ATATAAGTGCAGAATTATGAATTTGAAATAATAATATTTATCACCAGCTGCAGAAACGTTGTTGCCACATGGGCTAAAAAGACTTAAGATTACTCTTTTAAAGTGTGTCCTAAAACCAAAACCTAGTGTTTTGTTTTTGTTTGTCCTAGTGACGTCACTGGAAGTGAAAAAAAAATTGAAAATTTTGAGCCATCACTAGAACATTTATAGAGACAAGAAAAGGGAGTTAGCAAAATCTTCCAATGGGGACACCCAACTGTCACCTGTCAGGACGCAATAGCAGCAAGAGAATCTCTAACCATGCTGTATAGCATGGACGGAGGAATCTGTGTTTTATTCAGCTCTTAGGCTGAAGGAAAATATCAGTGTATGGTTAGCTTAAGTTTAATGAACCCCAGCAAGTTCAACTTGGCCATTAGTACTTATTTGGGAAGCTATATTTGAATAATTCTTATACTTCACAATAGTTGCCTTAGCAATATTTCCTTTCAAGTTAAATTTTCTTCCTACTCAACACTCCGCTGGCACTAGTTTTACTATCTTACATTACTAAAAGCAATTTCTTGTGGGAAACAAAGGTCATACATTTCATTAAAGGCAAAAAAGTATAAACTCTAAATGAAAAAGGGCAAACGCTAATGATAACGTACAAAGGTACGATAACCAAGAGCTACCATTATTTTAATTGCAGGTATATAGAAGGAAAAGTACAGTCTTTGTTTTAGATAAATATGCGACTGTGATCAACGTAATATAAATAATCTCACACTGCAATAAGTTGCAAATAATGTATAAATGGATATAGCCGGACAGCCACATTCATAGCTTATATTATGCAAGCTGAAGCTCCTGCTTCCTAATGCTACAGACAGTGATTGTACTTTACTGTTCTTTGTAGCAGGAATGTTGACCACTGTCTGATATACAGATAACCAGTGGAGGGGGTCATCAGTACACCATAACAACACTATATATTTAGTAGCAACAATCACACAATAGTCTTTATTTGAAGTGTTAATCTAATTGGTTGTTGCAGAGTTCTGAACTTTCTGGAAATAAACCTCCATACTTGTTGTAGAGTTTAGCATTTAGAATGCAATGTAAAGAAAAACCATTAACATCAGTATTCATAACAATATGCAATACATGTTGCTGGAATGTGTGCAAACATACCTCTGTATAATGTAATCGATAACTATGTAAAAAAAAAAAAAAAAAAAAAAAAGGTCAAGTCAAAAGTACTTTAATTCTACACTGACAGGAAGTATATGCTCTTTAATTCATCTTCAACTACAGATAATTCTGCCTTACTTTCACACATATGGAAGCTAAATGTACTGCACTCCTTAACCAAATGGAGCTATGTGCATTCTAAATCTAAGCCAATGGCAGCTAAGTACATTGTGAACATGTGGGATGTCACTATCCTATAATCCAGGGGTCTTTCTAAACAAAGGGCCAGTTTACTGTCTGTCAGACTTTAGGGGGGCCGGACTGTAGCCAGCCGGAGTGGAAATTTTCCTGGCACCAATAGCAGTAAACATCACATTTGGTATTAGGGGGAAGATATCATTGGAAGAATTTTGGCTTACTGTATGTGTCAGCGGAAGAAATGGTGCATCACTGTCAATGTCAGTTGGCAATATAGTGTCTTGTATCAGCGGGAGGAATAGTTACCCCTAGGGCCAGTGGGAGTAGAAATTTTCCTCAATTTCCGCATCAATGGGAGTAAACATCACCACATTTGGTATTAGGGGAGGAATAGGGCTGCATCTTTGATATTACTGGCAGGAATAGTGGCCCATTGGTGTCAGTGGGAGAAATGGTGACCCATTGTTGATGTCAGTTGGCAATATAGTGTCTCTTATCAGTAGGAATAGTGCCCCAAGGGCCAGATAAAGGCAAGCAAAGGGCTGCATCCAGCCCCTGGGCAGCAGTTTGGAGACCACTGCTATAATCCAAGACTGTGAGGATCTAGACCAGCCTTTCAACAAGGGTGCCTTGGCAAAATTTCTAAAAATTGGCCAAAAGTTGTATACAAGCCAGCAGGTGGAACAAGCCTGCCTTTTAGTTACACAAAGCTACAGGTTTTCATTGTGCACCATTATGACCTTTTAGACACCAGCGGCCTGACAACCAGTGACATCAGTTGATAAGGAGGATATCAGCTGCCTGCACAGCATCCTAATTTGACCCTCCCATGTCCCTCTCCATCAGGGCTGGGGTCACATTAGCTCAGTGATGGATAAAAACTAAGGGAGAGGAGAAACATTGGCATACTACTCAGTACCAGTGTGAAAAAGTGTATTTGCTTTGGAAGAATAAATCACCTCTAATGTTGGGTGTCCTACATGAGTGGATGTTGCTATGTTATATAAAACTATTAGAATAGTTTTTCACATTTTAGAATGGGGTGCCTTTTAAAAATTGTGGACAGTCTAGAGGCCCCCCATTTTAGAATGGGGTGCCTCAAGACTGTCCATGATTTTAAAGGGTACCTCGGAACTGTCCATCATTTTATGGGGTGCCTTGACCGAAAAAAAACGTTGATAAACATTGCTCTAGACCACTGGGAGCCAAGTGCACTGTATAGCTAGACAAATGGGAGCCAAGTGTACTATACCTCTAGATCAATGGAAGCCAAGTGCACTGTACCTTTAGACCAGGGGTCTCTAAACTTTCTAAATAAAGGGCCAGTTTACTTTCCTTCAAAATTTATAGGAGCCGGACTGTAGCCAGTGAAAGAAGAAAATGTCCTGGCATCAGTAACAATGCCCCATCATTGGTGTCTGTAAGAGGAATAGTGTCCCATTATTGGTGTCAGTGGCAGGATTAAAGCCCCATTGTTGATGTCAGTGGGAGGAATAGTGCCCCAAGGGCCAGATAAAAACAAGCGAAGGGCCACATTCAGCCCCGGGCCACCGTTTGGAGACCATTGCTCTAGACAAATGGGAGCAAAGTGCACTGTACCTCTAGACCAATGGGAGCCAAATGCACTGTACCTCTAGACCAATGGGAGCCAAATGCACTGTACCTCCAGACCAATGGGAGCCAAATGAACTGCACCTCCAGACCAATGGGAGCCAAATGCACTGCACCTCCAGACCAATGGGAGCCAAGTACACTGTTCCTCTACAGCAATGAGTGCCAAGTGCACTGTCCTACACCAAAAAGAGCCAAGTGCACTGTATCACTGGACCAATGGAAGCCAACAGCACTGTACATCTACACCAATGAGAACCAAGTGCACTCTACATCTATATCAATAGCAGACAAGTGCACTATATTTCTAAACTTATGGGAGCCAATTACACTCTACATCTACACCAAAGGAAGTCTAGAACACCACACATCAGCCATAACAGAGGAAGCCAAGGGTCATATACTTCTAGTAGAGTGAATTGAACAGTACTTCTACACCAATGGCAGCATAAAGTTCCATACAAGCAGCAGCACCTTATTTCTATACCAACAGTAACCAAGTGTACTATGACAATGTTATATTGCACTTCTTCGTTAGTGAAAACCAACTGTATGGTACCATTGTAAAACTTAAAGTTGCACTAGTAAACAGAGCAAGAGAACCGGACTATACAGTAGATCTGAGAGATGACCTCAGCTATAAGATACATCATAAATAAGGTAAAAGGATCTTGATAGTTTTTAATTTAATCTAAATAAAACAGCAATGATCACAGATTTCTGGCCTACAGGAGAGGAAATTATAGTGCTTGCTAAAGCAGCACAGAACACTTAAGTCTACGATTGGGTGTGTTAGCGCCAATAAAATAGGGAGGGAGAATCTGCTGGCCACTGCAGACTCCAGATCCATGTACAAATAGGATATTTCCTGCATACTGCATCAATTTCATAAGCTCACAGCACTGTTTGTTCTAGGAATAAGATTTTTTTCATAGTTTTTTTCAAAGTAGAGAATGTAGTTCCTCATTACTTCTGTGTGAGGAAAGAACTATCCAGCATAAAATAATATACATACACTGGTTAAACTATGTACTATAACTCAACTAAGGAGGCTTGCTGTATGAATACAATACAAATACACTGAGTAACTGATTAAATTTTCAGTTTCAAAAAAAAAAAAAAAAAAAAGGATGTCCACCATAAGCCATGGGTTATATATGCAATACCCAATCCAGATAATGAACTAGTTTGGTTAGTGTTATTGATAATCTTAGTAAAGTTAGTGCTTATGAACAATACCTGAAAAAAGTGTCAAAGAAGAGAGTCTAGCTTCTGGAATTCAGCAATGAAATAGTAGAGAGGTACACAAATACATCAGAACAGACATACCAGACACAATACATTAGGCACAAAACAATAGAGACACAAAAAGGTGAAAGAAATAACCTTGACAGTTACATTAATGCACTAGTTGGATATTAGAACACATGTTATTGCCAGATGCTGTCATTGCTATATTGACACTGTATAATTGAATTATAGCAGGGTACAGCACAGAAAAACTCCGGATTAAGCAAGAGCAACATGCAGTACTGACCAGATGAAGGCATGTCAAACCAAAACTTACTTGCTGCAGAACCACATTTTCCAGAATTTCTACGGGATAGGATCAAGATACAAAAGGGGGTACTTAATATTCCTAGGTCAGATGGGTTCAAAAACACACGAAACCCCAAGTGCTACATGAATAGTCCCAGTACAAGGTATCACCTTTGCAAGAACTATGTAGGTTGCCTTCAGATAGAATCAACCTTTGAAATCCCACCAGTCAAAAAGGGAGAATTTGGTAGCAGTGGACAACATTTCTACACTTACATTAGGCCCACACTTATTGACAAAGGTATAATGTTTGGTATCTGTCTGTTGAAAGCATTTACGTTCTGAACAAAACAAATCAGAACGGAGGGCCTGTTTGAGGTATTTGGCATATGGCTCAGTGATCTACAATAACAACTGCAGGCTGTTAGGGCTACAAAATGGTGACAAGTTGACCAGGCTGGGCACGCCATCATCAGGGGTTAGTAGCAGGAAGCAAAGACACGGTGGCAAAATAACCATGCGGTAGGTAAAGTCATTCTCCTTACCTCTTGTAGCAGGTCGGCCTGCTCAATGGCTTTTAGAACGTTTTTCTTTGACGTTTCCTGTACCTCTCCTCCCAAAAGAAATTCATCCAGGATAAAATAGGCTTTCTCAAAATTAAAGATGATATCAAGCTCACACACCTGAAAGGTAGAGAAGATGAGCATGTCTTCAGGCAATAATGACAGACGGAACAAATGTTTCAACAGCAATCTGTACATCAGAATATAAGTGATAACATTTTCAGTATCTATGGATATTAAACTGCTACTGGCAAGCTCTTGTAGCTGAAATAGCTTAGTGGCTAGCTTTTTAAAGATGAAATTGGGAATAAAACAGGTAGGAAATGTTTAATTTTGTTTCAGTTTTCCAATGAGATTGTAATATGGGTGGAATAGCTGAAGTTTTTTTTAATTTTTTTTATTGCATGTATAACAAATCGAATTAGCATGCACTAACCTACTTAACAGCACATATGCTTTTTTCTAAATGGCTTTCCAAGCTGCCAATCTGCATGGGTCACTTCTGATCATTTATCCTGACACCAAGCAATGCACAGGAACAGTTTCCCACCTCCCTCCAGCACACAACAGGCAATTGACAGCCTCATGAGACTAGTCACTTCAGTTTGTATGGGTAAGGGTTTACAACCACTTTAACATTTGCTTAACCACTTGCCTACTGGGCACTTATACCCCCTTCCTGCCCAGGGCAGTTTTCAGCTTTCAGCGCTGTCGCACTTTGAATGACAATTGTGCGGTCATGCATTATACCCATATTAAATTTTTATCATTTTTTCCACACAAATAGAGCCTTCTTTTGGTGGTATTTACTTGCCACTGGGTGTTTTATTCTTTGATGTGCGTTGATGAGGCTGCACTGATAGGCAGCACTGATGGCACGGATAGGTGGCACTGTGAGCTGGCGCTGATGGATGGCACTAATGGCACTGATTGGTGGCACTGCCGGGCAGAGGTGGGTGGTACTGGTGGGTGGCACTGCTGGGCACTGATCATCAGGGTACTGATGATTGGTGCCAATCCCTCCTCTGACAATTGCCGGTTATCGGCAGTACTTTCCTCACACCGTGACAGCGTGAGGAATGTGCAGCCGATAACCGGCAACTGCATTTACCGGTGATTAGCTGTGTCATTGGATACGGCTGATCACGTGGTAAAAGGCCGCTGTGATTGGCCTTTTACCACATCAAATGATCAGCTGTGTCCATAGGACACAGCAATCACGGAGATCTTTGGGTGCGGGCCTCCTCAGGCGCACGAGAGGGCACGATCTGGGAGGACGTCATATGATGCCCTCCCAGATCTGGCAAGCCGCAGTGAAGCCGTCATTCGGCTGGCTATCTGCGGTCGGCAAGTGGTTAAGCAGTGCAAGACAAATAGCACCAAATCGCTGAGTAAAGAGTGAAAAACATTCTACCACAAAAGGAACCTGCCTAAGGGATACGTTTTAATGAGAAAGTCATTTCGTACACAGAGTACAACATTCCAGGGCACTGTAATTAGACTCACGCTGCCAAAATACTTGTCCAAAAGCTCCACGTAACGGTGAATTATTTCGAGAGTGATCAGCTCATTGTCCTGGTCTTCAATGGCGCAGCAGAAGTAAAGGCTGGCGTACCTACACACAGAAGGAATCATTTTCAGAGAGGATGCCTACTAGGCACTGGCATATAAAATTACAAATATATAGTGACTGTGATAATAGTAACAAAAGCAATTATAGTATTATATACAAATTACTACTCACTAAAATACAGAATTTAGAACTAAGAGAGGGATGGGGTGGGGTAGCGAGTTCAAGGTTAGCCCACCTTTAACCAACACTACATAACAGAAAAGATACAGGCAAGATGAGTAACCCCTCACCTTGTAAAGCTTTAGGGTATCTGCAATCAAGGCATCTTCATAGTTCCTGACTCCTCTCCAACATTGTTTCCATAAACATATCACATACTTACTGCTGGATTTTACTCTACCATCCAGAAGGAGCAAGACACGTTTTCATACCGTCTTAATATCTGTGGTTGGGAGTGATGGAAACTCCATGAAAGAACTCTTGCTGACTGAATCTCCTACAAAGGCTAACTTTATTGTGCAAGTTGGCACATTTCTATTTTTGGTAGATTTAGTCTGAAAGGGCCAACTTCAGCCAAAACCTGACGGACACAGACACTGCTCCCAATGTGACATCCATGCGGGGGATGAACAGTTCCAGGTACACCCCGTGTGAACCAGGCCTTTCAGCAACAAGGTGTCCACTTTATAGCTTTCTGTCTTCAGAATCCAGTCACTGCTAACTGGAGATACATATAGGAAGGAGCAACAATCCGTATGCTTCTAGCATTAGTAAATGGATAGGAAAGTATATCATATTTACTTGTTTTAAAACTTTTTATTTACATTTCTTCAGTTACTTCCTGGTTTCCCTACCTAGGCAAATTATGTCATACATCCCAGGAGTCTTCAGGAGAGAAGGGAGGGTTCTTCGCTCAGACAATGCCTGAGCTAAGGGCAGAAGGATTCCAGGAAGTAAATGCTGCATGTATCATCTGCCCTTACTCAAGATGGCCACTGCCAGAAATGCCAGGAGGTGTTTTTCAAACTGATTTCTCAGCAAAATAAAGTATGGAGACATGGATGGATGGGGGGATTTGCTTTGAATATTAACAATGAATTAAACAGCATTTTTGGTTTGTGGTGCTCAAATGCAGTGCAGTTCCACTTTAAAGAGCTTTTGTAGACAAATAAACGACAGCCATTGTTTGGAGCTCTCAATGTAGAACCACTGACAGATCCCCACCTCCCATATTCTCTAGTTAGTAGCTACAGTTTTCACTTGCTTAGCAGGTAGAAAAATGTCTCATTGAAAGAAATAGGCAATGAGCCATTTGAATATGATCTGAAGCATCTCAGTACCGGTAGGTTCCCTCTTATGCGTTGCGCCACTGGTCAGGTGACTACCTCAGGGCGAGGAACCATGTGATGCATCTCCCTTATAAAGGCCCCACATGATTGATAAACATTGCCATAGTAACCGCAAATAAACTAAAAGGACATGGGTGGCCACTAGAGCTCTCCCCAGATGTCCCCACACGTCAACGTGTTGAGAGGAGCCTAGTGACGTCACTTCCGGTGCCGCGGAAATTGGAAGTGTGGCTACAGGAGCCAGATATGTGATGGGAATCAGCCTTTTATGCATTTTTATTGTGTGACTGGCTATTTTGGCCATTAATAAATATTTTATTTACATATGGGGTTGCACTATGAACTATCCTTTCTTCTTTTGAGCATAATATACTTGAGTGTATACAGCAATTTTTGGGTCCCAGGGACAGGAGGAGTGAAGTAGCTGCTAACAGGTGGAAGTCAACACACCCAGTTGTACCAACACTTTGCACATGTGACCTGTTATTATATGTGTCAAATGAGAAGGTAAGCCTGCATTGCACTGAGGTGTGATGAACTGTTGAGCACATTTGGCGGAGTTGTGCTAAAATCTACACCATTTAAAACACAGGAGGATTTGAAGGGCACGGTTTTAAAAGACCATATGTGAGTGCATTAATTGAGTTTAATAGTAACAAAGCTGTTAATACAGTGTTGCACTATGAAATATGTTTTTTTATTTTTTTGAAGCATACTCTCATATTTTGGAGCCAGTAAGGAGATCCTGGATGGAAGAGTCTTTATGAAATATATCATTGATTAACACAGCGCACTTGTCCTATATTGAGTTGTAGGTCTGATTACACGATGAGCGAGTTTTTCACCTAAAGGAGGAAGAGCATGTTTGTTGGATTGAATGACACAGCACTAATTTATGAAAGTTTACACAATTTATGGACATTCTTATCATGTGTTGATGGACATATAAAACGGAGTACAAATAAACCATCTAAAATGTATATTTATGTAGTTAAAGGGATAGCGTACCACAAAGGTTGTAAGTTGTTTGTGTTAGGTGTGTAAGAGTGCACTTTATGAGTGGTTGCAGCATTCTCTAGTAGACTGCCAGGCTATTTTTGGATTGGAGCAATTGGATGAAGTGTCGCAGCCAGGGGCGGACTAACAACTCATGGGGCCCCCGGGCAATAGGGGATCATAGGGCCCCTGTGTCCTCGCCCAAACTCAAACCACACCCAAAAAAGCCTATGAAAAAGGTACCAGGGGCATCTCATGGGGCCCCCTACTAACCCCAGGCCCTTGGGCAGTGCCAGAGTTCCAAAATGGTCAGTCCGCCCCTGGTCGCAGCGCACCAAGCATTATTATTCTGTAAACTCAATAAAGTTACCGCTGCAAGGTTTTTAATTAGCAAAATGGATATTTTCACAATTTGTGAAAAACAGGTAGACTTTGCCTTGAAGAATTTACAAGATGAAGGCTAAAAGAACTTGTTGTGCCACCTATTACACTGTAACCTTCCCAGGTCTGGCATTCGCTACATTGCTGTGTAATTACTGACACTTTAAAAGAAAAAATTGCTACAAGCTTGTCTCTGATGGAATACCCTTGGACCTGATCCACATAGAAATGAAGCTGCTGCATCTCAGCCGCCTCTCCCCTCTTGCTAACTATGGTACGATTAAACTCAAACTGCCAGCACATTAATTTCTGAGCCCTTGCCACACAGCAGTCAGACAGAGTAGTGGTGAGGCCCGTGGGGAAGCAGTTCAGTTTTGAGAAGATGATAATTAGGAGCATTTGTTAAGTGCTGTTCTATTCACCCAGTAAGCCATCTCTCTTTTCTACATAGAGCAGATCTTGTCTGATTTAGTGCAAGTGGCACTTTGGCACATTAGTACAATTAGGACTCATATGGGAAATGGCGCAGTTGTCCAATTTGTCCTTGGGAAAAAAAAAGCAAAAACTTGGTGATATCTGTCAGGAAAAATTAAAACTAGTCAGAAATGTGTATTTCAATATCCCACTGCTTATGTCCCATTAAAAAACAACATTTAATTAAAAAGGACAAATGTAATTTTAATTAACATAGAAGGTATGTCACAATGTAAGGGCTCACTGCAAAACCGTAAACAATCTGGCAACCTGTTTACCAACGCTGCTTAATGCTGTACTGCAAGTGGCTGGCACAGCTGTTAGATCCTCTGGCTCTCTATACACAATTGGTATCTGCAAGTGCCAATTTCTGAGATGGGGATGGGGGATGGGATCTTTATTGCACAGGCTTTTTAGTGAATGGCCAGTTTAAACACAGACTCTCTCACCCCCTCTTGTCCAAGACTGTGCCTTTCATCCAGCCCAGATATAAAAAGCTATAAGCTGGAAATAATGAGTCATTCTGGTGCAAGCTGAACAGTTTAAAGGCATTGTACACTTTCAAATGCTTTGTTGTTTTAACTAGGTATTAGTGTAGTTATATTTCCCATGTCATTTGTTTGCCTTACCTTATAATGATGGGCTCACATTTTGTGGCTGCAGTTTGCAGTATCATGGTTTGATTTCTCTGTGTCTATGTATTCATTCACCAAACATGTCCCTATCCAGGGACAAACAGCTTATTGTTCTGGGTCACTTAGCATCCAGGGCACGCCTAGTCATTTCTTTGTGTTGCATCCCAAATGTGTGAGTGCTAATGATGAATCAAGCACATCTCTTCCAGCATGGTAAGCTCTATTAACTGCTTTAGACTGAGAAACCCAGGGACTATGGGATATGCAGTTTCTCACAGTAAGTGTCAGTTCTCAGACTACAGAGAGATGTCATGCTTTAGTCTGTACAGTACCATGCTGCATGCCTCATGATTCAAACACATTTCTGGCACCGGAATTTAAACATTTTACTCTACTATAGGCTGTGGGCACAGGGAAACAAATGACACCATAAATTACATGATCAATGCACATCTTATGCAGGTGAAAAACACAATGTGCAGGTAGGAAGGTTTATATTGCCTTTAAAGTGGTTGTAAAGGCTCAAGGTTTTTTACTTTCATGCATTCTATGCATGAAGATAAAAAAACCTGTGTGCAGCAGTGCCCCCAGCACTCTCAATACTTACCTGAGCCCCATCGAAATCCAGTGATGTGGACGACAGACTCGGCTGTCTCGGGTCTCTGCCTCCTCATTGGCAGAGACAGCAATCAGGAGCCATTGGCTCCCACTGCTGTAAATCACAGCCAGTCAGTCAATGAGGAGAGAGAGGGGGCAGTGTGTAAATGGACACAAGGAGCAGCGGGTGCCCCATAGCAAGCTGCTTGCTGTGGGGGCACCCGACAGGAGGGAGGGGCCAGGAGAGTTTTATTACCTGCGGGGTACCCGAGAAAAGGAAGATCCAGGCTGCTCTGTGCAAAACCACTGCACACAGTAGGTAAGTATAGACATGTTTGTTATTTTCAAAATATATAAAAAAAAAATAACCTTTAGAATTACTTTAATCTAGCTGTACAATGGCTTGTAAGCCCTGACAACCACTGGTTACTGACACCTAAGAGCCCTTACTGCAACTAAGCACATCATCACAGGTACATTATTATTTTGCCAAAACATTTTTAACCAGGTAATTCCATTACACCCAGCACAGCATACTAGGATAAATAGTTTGGCAGTAACATTAACTGGCTACCCGACCACCCTATAGCATATATACTGCTACAGGGCG